CACCAGTGACCCACGTGACCCTGAAAAGGAAGAAGCGTGTACAGAAAATGGATGGGTGGATGGATGGATGGTTTATTAGTTTTTAATGTCCACCCAGTCTATCCATTTGAAATCTGTGAACATGAATCATTTCTTTAACACTACAAAAAAGAAAACAATAAAACATTATTGCCTTAGCTTAAATGTGTAGGTTATCTTTATATCATCAACGGTAGACCTAAAACCAGGAGAATGATTTCTTTACTTAACTAGATACAGCATAGCGGTAGCATTTATGACCCCAGAACAAACATAAAACACCCAAGAACCAGAACTCACATATGGGCTGCAGCTGTTTAAGATGTTCTGGTATTTATATAAGAAGTGACCTTGGAATGGTCATTAAAAATAAAATATTTTGTTGATGGAAAACAAAAAAACAGATCTGCTCTTGTAGTCTATTTAAGTAGAGTGATAATGAAACAAACCACATTCATGCACGATGTCATATACACTTTCTGACCAAAAAAGGTCTCCACCTGTATTTAACTKAGGTCTATGATGTGGGGTTGCTGCAGTTGGTCAGGTCCAGGTTCAGCAACAGTCTGTGCTCAAAGAATGAGGTCAGCWGACCWGAATAMACTGAATGACCAGGTTCTTCCATCAATGATTGTTTCTTCCCTGACGGCACGGRCATATTCCAAGATGACAATACCAGGATTCATGGGGCTCTTATTGTGAAAGAGTGTTTCAGGGAGCATGAGACATCATTTTCACACATGGATTGYCTCCACAGAGTCCARTGAGAATCTTTGGGATGTGCTGGAGGTCAGACTCTACCATCATCAATGGTAGATCTTGGTGAAACAGTAATGCAACACTGGATGGAAATAAATCTGGTGACAGAAACATATCCAAACAATGCCACAGTGAKWSWGTGCTGTAATKTAAGCTAAAGGCAGTCCATCAAAATATTAGTGTGACTTGTAAGTATTAATCCAGTACTTAAACTAGTAAATTGTACTGTAGATGCTTTACAAATATAGAAACGATCCACAGAGATCATTTTGAGTGGAGTTAATGAGCATGCATATGGGGCTGTTGGACTTTTGGTCGGTGTAGGACAGATAGGAAATCTGTTTTCATGTTTATATACTGTATGTACAGACTTAAAATAACAATTTTTAGTCATGTGTTTTGATTATTTTGCCTATTGCAAGGTGGCAGTTGCATAAAAACTCAATGATGTCATGTTGAAAGCCATTCATCAGAAATACACAACAAAACAAATCTGAAGTTCCTATGTTGAATACGTTTTGAGATATGAGCATTTTTGTATGTCCAGACACCAGCTTTTCAAATAGTGCTATTTGAAATATGGGGTTTATCCCAAAACCTAGCACAGTGTAGGTCAGCACCATCTATAATCCTACCAAATTTCCTGCTGCTATTTCAGCAGTTTCCAAAAAGTTGACCAAAAAATCTAAAAAATAAAAATTAAAAATTATAAAAACTTAAAGTGAAAAAAAAATACAACAACAGCACAAAAACAATAAGACACCTGCTTTACGTGCAGGGATCATAATAAACAACGTCTAAAAGCTTCCTTATGACCCAAATTTAAAATAAATTGAAAATGAAATGAACAGCATTGTTTCTGCCTATCTGACTTGGGACATTCAAATCCTGTAGCCTTTGCTTGTTGCCAAGGCAATTTCTGTTCAGGCAGAAGTAAAGTGTGGCCATAATATTTGGTTTATTAGTCTCAACACCTGTTACACAAAAAAATGCTGATTAGTGAGCTTAGAGAGCTCTCATCAGTAAATTTTGTTACCAGCTGCATCCATCTGTTATTTTTTAGATTATATGATGATGAATACTTCAATAAAAAAATCTATTTCATCCAGTTTTGACTTTTCTCCAAATAAAGCTAAAGTATCACTGAAAATAATTTTTGGTCAGTTGAAATAATAATAATAAAAGAAATCATCATTAGAGATATTTCAGTCCAAAATTTCACACCAAACTTTGGCTTCTTATTCATCTTTTCAATTAAAAAAATAAAATAAAAGCACATGAAACACGTTTACATAAAGAACGCATGATTTCAGGCAAAACAAACAGACAAACAAACATTAATAAATTAGTGTTAATCATGTTTAACTATTATTATGCATAATTAAATGCAGATGTAAAAAACTTGAGGAAATCTCTTTTTACAGGCTACACTGACTTTGAAGACCATCAAACATAATTTGTATTGATGTTTTGATAAATATTAGTGTTAAATGCAGGAGTTCAGCTTTTATGCAGACTCTTATCCCTAATTAAWCCTGTGGGCGGAGACTTGAAGCAGCTGCAGCAGATTTCTTAATGAGCTCCTGTACTTTAAAGGTTTCTTCAGAGGGTTTGGTCAACACTGGAGCATCTTATACTCTGGTAAAAATTGCGAAGCTGCTCAATACTTCCTGCTAACTGAGTTTTACATACCTGTGGTTTTTCCCTGTAAGCAGTCCACGCCAGACACTCGCTGARGAAGCCTCCTGAGCTCACTTTCATCCTGGAATCCACTCACCAAGCTGCTAACCTCTGTTCCACTCTCCTGCCTCCTTGTCCTTTGGTCCCTGGCTCTAACTCACCTGTTCCTCCTCYTTCCTCCTGGATCCATCTTACCTGGAAAAACCCACCTGCACGTCCATGCACGTCATCCTTGCAGAACCTGTAAGAAAGCAATCAATCATTATTATCACCTWCCTTTTGGAAAAACAACTCATCTGGAAACTCTCTCAGATTTGGCACCTGTAAATAAACAAACTCCCTCATCATTATCCCTGTCTCCTGGTGCTCTGGTCCCCTCGGCTGCTCGTTTACTGACGCTCTCTGGGAACTGTGATGTTGAGTTTCTTTTGAGGAAAATATTAGGCCAATACTTACTTGGATTATTTTTCCATATTCATATTTTCATCATAGTTAATTCTAGTTAACAACAAACAACAAAGCTTGTTCTAAATGTTTCCTATCGTTCTGTATCCTCTGTAAACAGATTTGATTGTTCCTGTATTTAAAAGCTGCCAGCAGATGATGTTCTCCACAAATATTTCATGTTCTAATCTACGCTTATGGTCATGTCTGCAACACATTTCTCTGCACGTGCTGGGCTTATTGGCAGCAAAGCTCACATAGTGTAAACAATAGCTGTGTTTCCATTGACCATGAAAATGCGCAAATTAGAATTTCAAAAATAAATTTGCTCAATGGAAACATGTCAATTTCGAAAAAAGTTATGTTTTTCAACTAAATGTTTTTGCACTAGGAAGAGGTGGTTCTTCGGCCATATTGAAACTGATGTATTTCACAAAACTGCAATGGAAACACTTTTTTCGCATCACAGGAGTCACGTGATCAAGAACTGTTTGAAAGAGCTGTTTCTACTGGCAAAAAAGATGATGAAGAAGAAGATAACAGGAAGTAAAAGTAGTAGTAAAATCACTGAAGTAGTAAAAGAAAGTAGTAAACTCACCGACAACATTTTCCCATAAATGTCGCTTACATAGCCACTCCCAAGTATGAGGGGCTTGTCACTCGAAAGCCTCGATAAGATGCCGACGTCTCCTCTGATGATGAGCGCTAGTGTCATGGTAGCAATATGCTATGTGTGTTTACATCCATTGCCGCCATGTTTGCAATGATTTATCGTGAGAACAAACGTATTTATAGCATTTCTTACTTAATGGAAACACTGCAATTGTGAAACTGTGTTTTTTGGACATTAACAGAATATCGACAAAGTTTTGCGGACATTTGCAATGGAAACGCAGCTACTAAAAATATGTACATATGCACAAATATACGTTGATTGTTCATATCTCTTCCATTCACATACAGTATGATGATGTTTACAGATTGTAAGTAATAAATTGGGGTTTAAAGCCATGTTAAAAACTAAAATAAGGCATGTCCTGATGCATCTCAGTAATCTAGGTAGAAAAAAAATCAAAAAGAAAAAATAAATAGGTCCTCTGGACGGGTTCTTCTTTAGTGAAACGTTTCGTCTCTCATCCAAGAGACTTCTTCAGTCTGATGCGTTTCAGGTGAAACTCAGCCTTATAAGCACTGCCTCCACATGGACAAACAGGTTAGTCATGTGCAAAAGAGGGCCATCAACTAACAATAAGCTTGATTAGCTCTATTGTTCATAAAGAGTCATGTGCCCCATCACCTGACCCGTGTCGTGTTATGTGAATGTAGTGAATGCAGGCGGGGCTCGATGTTCCCTTGTTTTTGTCCCTCRTTCCCTCTTTGTGTTGGTATCGTTGGGGCCGATTCATACCTTTTGCTCACAGGGGGTTGAGTCATAATTGCAATAACAGCGTTTTAGGAGGAGGACAGCTGGACACAAAGGCCTCCACCTCTGTTTAATGGTGGACAGTTTTTTTTCATATAGAAGAACCCCATCCAGAGGACCTACTTATTTTTTCTTTTTGATAAAATAAGACACATATTAAATTAGTTTGAGGTTGGTGACAGGAGCATTTTAAAGATCTAAATGTTTGTAAGTTTAGCTGCAAACAATGGATGTATGTTTTTATGTGTGTGTGTGTCGGGGGGAGGGGTCTGTTTGAGTTGTGAGCAACTGTAGGAGATAACTTCCTACATTTGGTGGTGGCTCAACAACATTGATACTATTATTCAGAGGTACCTCCAGGGCCTGCATTATTGAATTCAAATAAAAAAGGTGAGATTAGAACTATAAAACTGTGGTGAGTCCAGCTCATTCCTACAAGCTGTTCCTATATACAAGTACTGACAATATACCTTTTTTGCATTTTCACATTTTTTCCACCAGAAATTTACCACACACTCTAACCCTCAAGGAAATAATTCAAGGTGAAAACGGGTTACACTTTTGTTTGTTGTCAAACTTTGTCCTTCATGACCTTATTGAACAAGTTGGTAGTTACCAGAAAAAGGACCTTGTTTTAGGTCTCTACCTGGAACTCCTTTTTCCCAGCAACAAAAAAGGGAGAYCACTTATATACAGTAGGCAGATTACTTCTTGGCCCTGCCTACATGGTGCCACTGTCCCCGCCAAGCAGCTCTTTTTWAATYTCAGATATAGGWTATTAGGGCCCATATTTATCAAACTTTATCAAACTTCTTAGAATTYAAGGAGGACTGACTTAAGTGTAAAAAAAGAGTCCAATAAGTTGACATACACCACAGCAACAGTGAAACCTACATTGAGACATTCCATTGACTTCCATTACATTTCTACAGCCTAACCCTGACCACAAACCCTAAGGCTAACCTCACAGGTACCTACCTGACCCTAAAACCTAAAACTAACCTAAAGTCAATTCCCACCTTGGTCCTAAACCCAACCCTCACACCCAAAATCAGCCTCTGAAGTTGTGAGGCCCAGGCTTTGGGCCTCAGAAGGAGCATTTGGTCCCCACGAGGCTGCATTTTCCTTAAAACTGGGCCCCACGATGTAGGAAAAACAATGCCACACACACACACACACACACAC